CAATAGAATTAGTTGCTTCAATTTTGCATTTACTCATGACACACACACACACACACACACGCACGCGCACACACACACACACACACACACACACATGCGCGCTCACACACACACACACACACACACACACACACACACAGAGAGAGAGAGTGCTCCTCTAGATTGCTGGAAGCCGGTAGCGCGTGGAGGGAACTGCAAATATTTACACGATTCGATTGCTGTAGATGATGTGAATATGGAGGATGCATATCCTAATATCACAGCTGCATATGGGGGCCCATATGAATCCTCGTTGCTGTTGATTTGCATCGTGCATAGGAGTGGGTTACCCATATTTTGTGTCCAGCATGTTCAAATCGTCTACAGTATGCATGCCAATTTGCACTAGAAGCATGTGTATGCTGCCTTAAAAAAAGAGGTAAACAGAGGTCTTATCCTTTCTCCTCCTCGTCCTCCTCCTGCCCCCAATCTCAATCTGTCGACATCTCTGCTGCAATATCCGTTCTCCCCGCATGATGACCTCCCTCCGTGCTGACCTTCCCTTGCCAGCTCCGGCTTCTTCAGCTCCTGTTGTTGCAGACTTCCCTTCGTCATTATTTCTGATCGCACTCAAGGGTATTGTGGGTCCAGTCCATGCGAGCAGCCGATGCCAAGTTTTATTGATTTGTTTGCATCACCCTCACAAACAAACACAGTGGGTGTGTAGAGTGGAGTGGGTTTTATGACTGTGTCAGATTAGTTTACCGTTTGTTAAGGGTTTGGACCGGCAGTCCGCTAGGATTGAAAGGTTGGTGTGAGTAAAGTCGACCACTTTTCTCAGGGGTGTCGCTAACGCTGGGCAATATGGTCAGTCCTTATCCATCAGTCAAATTAATCCTGGGCAGACTGTTGGGGTTCAACCTCCTGATGAGTAGGTGAAATTCCGACGAAACAGTCTGGCACAGTCATGCTTTTTTTGAGTGTGTAGCGAATATGGCTACCCACAGGGTCACTCAGTCTGGCTCATCCATTAGGAACAGTATGTTGATGAGCATTTGCAAGCACTGCACCCCCCGGAGAGCAATCCTGCTGATTCTACCACAAACAGTGAAAGGACCTCTCCACAGGATGATGGCTGTGCCCTCCTGTTGTGTCGTCGCACAGGTACAGTTCGGTTGGCATGTACACGACATAGCCTCTGCTCCGAACACCATAAAGGTATGGTCGCTGCTAGCCTCTCACACAAAAATTGCGATCTCCAGTCCTGTGCTCATCCCCCCCACCCCCTGATTACTTGCCCAGCATGCCGTTGTGACCTTGATCTGCCATGCTTGAATAACTGTGCACGTCAGCCTTCCATACTGATGACATGTCAGCAACATGCCATGTGTAGTCAATGCTTCCAGGAAGCTGTCATAGAAAGTACGTGTCTTTACTGCGTGGACTATCCCCGGTGCCATCACCCTCCACATCCTCTCCTAGCATGTCCCACATGCGGTATTGGTCATACACCTACGGCAACCACTGACAGATTTCCCTCTTTCATGCCAGATGAATGACGAACACAGCAGTGAACCACCGGCAGAGCGCGATGTGCTCATAGTTTATCACCACCAGGGCGAGCTGTTGTGGATCATATCCTGCAGCAGCTGAATGCTCTTGCGTTGGACGGATCCTCCCTGTCGTCGTCTGCCCATAGAGAAGGAATACATACTGAGGAAGCCCAAGAAAGATGCTCCATGCCGTTTTGTGATGACCCGCCAGAGATTCCAACTAGCATGTGGTTCACATGCCTTGTGCCGTGAGGATTATGAAGGTATAGTCCATGCGAGTTTTTGCTTCCATACGTACGATGACAGTCAGTACGGCACCCCGACATGTCTATGTCCAATTTGTAGACGGGCTGGAACGGCAATGCCTGTATAATTGCGGTCGACGTGCCTGTGTTCCTAGCATGTACGAGCCACGTAGCCTGTGACATCTGTCTGCGCCGTGCCATTCGATGCAGCAACTGTGACTGTGAAAATTGGATGCGGTGCTTCCGTAGCCCACACCCGAACCGGTCCTGTCCGGTCTGTAGGGGTGGCCACTCACCATATTTTTTTTTTTTTTTTTTGTCTTTTAGAAGTCTGCTTCAGCGGTGAATACTTAGAAATCTGTGAAACCCGTCATACACCTTTCCCCCGCTCTTTGCATGTCATACTCTATCCTGCCCTCCCGTTGCCCCAACCTCCCCTGCCCCATACCCCTAGAGAACCCCGCCCTCTACCCTTTACCCTCCACCCTCCCCTCC